CACCACCAAATGAGGTAAAAAATTTAACATGAAAACGCAAAAAGCAACAAAGCTAATTTAAACATAATAAAATTGATTCACACCACGCTTAAAGACCCTACACGGTGTAAAAGAAGAGATTTTAAAGAGACGACATGAGGAATACAGTGGCCCTCTGTCTAATCTAGCCCGTCACACGTTAAAATTTATGACACGACTTGAGACTTGTGGATTTCTAAATATAAAGACTTCCTTGTCTATTGACGAAACCAAAGTGCGCACCACCCGGTTTTTCGCTTGAAGATGACACAACACAGCATTTCCAAGAATGCACGGTGCAAGTATCCTCGGTGACAGCGCATTTTCTTAGCCCTTTGAACCTGGAGCGACTGAGCCTTAAATGGGCTATAGATACCCTGGGCCCCTGGACAATTTCACTTATTTTTGCGTCTATACTTTTCTCCGGCTTATTTTAGTGTTGGTATTTCTATTTATCTCATTTTGTTGTTGTCGTTGCCGTTGTTACTGTAATAATATCACTATGCTGGTGTATACTGATGCTGCTGTTTCGTATTTGAGTTCTATTTTCGTTTACACACGTAGGTAGGTGTGTCATATATCGATATTTCGGTACCCCTGGGTATTTGCGGCGTTGCGTTTATACTGATATTTCGGTACAGGGGGTTCAATCGGTTAAAGTACAAAAGTACACTGCCAATGACAAACGCAGGGGGGTGGGGGGGGGGAGAGGAGGAAAATGTTTGTATATTACCGCGACGGAAAAATACAAGAAGGCTACCATGCCTACCAACCCGGAGGACCAACCCTTTCCACGTTTTGTTATCACCGCCGCTGGGAACAAAGCCGAGTCCAAAGTTAAAATTAATGTATTACCGGACACGTCACGTGCTACCTGACATGGTTAGATTTACACCGGCGACAATCCCTAAACTCAATTCGTTCTTCGTTTTCGTTTTAGGGAGAGTTTCACGGCACTTGCAACACAATAAGGTCATATAACTGCCGAAGATTAGACAGAGGTGTTTCAAGAGAGTAACAAACGCACAAAAAAAAGGAGCAACACGAACGAAAAAGTTTGAGAGGAAAAAAGGAGCAAATCACACCACAACATCCGCCAACCACCCACAATTCGTTCCTACACTTCTGGTTGCAACTATTCGCTGGGAATCAATCAATGCCTCTAATCAAAGGCACGACACAATCTGCACTCCATTTTTTTCAAAGGTCTCAAAATGTACGCTTTATGAAACTACGAGCAGGAACCCGTCCTCACCCCCCCCCCCCCCCAATAAAAAACAACAACCAACAACAACAACCCAACAACAAACAACCGAAAATACTACTGTGACATATTGGTGCGCATGAGATGCTTATGACTTAACGGGGCTTTTTAAGGTACATGGAAGTAGTAATAGTAATAGATTACATGTGGTAAGGAGGAAGAGGAGAAGGAGAAGACGAAGAAGAAGAAAAACTACTATTAATTTCGAAACCAATAATAGTAACAAATTACAACAATGGGTAAACAACTTACAACGGCGACACACATATGATGATACATAACTACAAAGGCTTTAGCTGTCCCGGCCATTTTCTTTATAAACTAAGTCTTAGATCACGTTCGTTCCGCCATATACATAAAGAAAAATTAGTAGAGCTGAAAATAAAAAGGTACAAAAGCACTTACGAAACCGTGGGGTGGCCGACAGAAGCGCCACGGTAGAGACATGAAGAAGTGTAATTATATTTCTATTTACAAAAAATCTATTGTTACCAGCTTGATCTACTTCTTTTTAATTCTTGGCTTATTTTTAGACTCCGCCAATCGATGCTTTCTATTACAAATTGTAAAGCAACAGGAGAAAACACGCAGCTCCATTATTGATCCAAAAGTGGCGATGGAGGCAACTGTCAAAATCACACTTCGTTGGGAGAAGGAACTTGGGTACTGATGCCCAACCACAACAAAACACTATAAACGGACATAGCAAAGGCACGAGGTTAAAAGCGATTGGTGTTACTATTACATACAGAAACGAATTTACACCCCCCCCCCCCCCCCCAATCGGGGGGAATGTGGCCCCTCTCCCCCCCCCCCAAAAAAAAAATAATAAAAAAATCAACCAAGAACCCACCACCTCCTCCCACGCAGAGAAACAAACAAATTAGAATGTAACTTTTTTTTTGGACTTGTGGTGAAAGAAGTGTCGGTAAGTGTCTCCTTGAGGTAAGCCAGGGTTTCTAAACCCCCACTCGTCGGCCGCGCGGCGTCATATGTTGTGTGTCTGGGGTGAGTGGAGGTGGTGCCGCCGGTGAAAAGTCATGGTAATTATGTGCGCGCGTGCGGGTGGGTACAACGTGACATTGCCAAATCAAGAACACCGCATTATGTTAATTATTTCTTCTTTATATCTCGGGAGGACCTTGAGGAGCAACAGATGGGGGGGCCCCTGGCATAAAAACATGATGCTTATACCGAGAGCTGGTCTGCGAAAGCGGACGTCGCATGAGACTTTACAATAACACAAAGAAATACAACAAATCGTAACAGTCTAACATCTTGTTATCATTCTCATACAACAAACAGACTGTTGATAGGTTTTTAACTTTCTTTTTTCTCAAACTATGACATACTTCATCAAGTAACACTTTTCTGTGAGGCCATATTTCATTCAATCTCTTTCAAGATCATCTCTAAAAGCACAAGAAGAAAATAATAAGAGCTTTTAATAAAATAAATACAACGGGCTACCCATTCAAATTTAGCTATTGGTGATTACAAGATAACTCATAATATCTAAATCTAAATGACGACTGACGTAGCCTTCCTCTGTACAAGTAGACTGCTGAATTACGAAATTTCTTATAAAAATATGATTTAAAACGAATTATGAATTTTTATGACAACTTGCTTCTGCATCTGTCAATTAAAGTTAATGAGAAATCCATTACACCATAATAATATGTGTGAAGGGATGGATTTAGCTTCGATACCATTAATTTGCAACAGTAAAAGACACTGACACCCGCAGAATACAATGGATAGTAGTATACAATAATGTAGATACACACACAGAACAGATCAGAGGGAAGAGAGAGGGAAGAAGGAAGAGACTCTGTGTGTTGTGTGTGTGTGTGTGTCTGTCTGTCTGTCTGTCTGTGTGTGTGTGTGTATGTGTGTGTGTGTGTGTGTGTGTGTGTGTGTGTGTGTGTGTGTGTGTGTGTGTGTGTGTGTGTGTGTGTGTGTGTGTGTGTGTGTGTGTGTGTGTGTGTGTGTGTGCGCGCGCGCGCCTGCGGTACAGGAGAAAAAGAACATGCAAAGAAATTATTATGTTAAGTGGGGTAAGACAACATTTCTTTTTAAAGAAAAGAAAGAAAGAAAATTAAAAATTACACTTAAAAAGTAATAATTCATCAATTGTTAAACTTACTTTCTACACTTGCATTCCACTGCATCAGTAATATTTCAGCTCAAAACGACTATTTACAAATTTTCCAAGAGCAAATGAGTAACCATGTTTCTCTGAATGGTTGGCTTTACTTTGTTTTAAGTTTTTATTAAGTGTGAGTGTGTTTATGTGTGTGTTTGTGCGTATGTGTCTGGTAATGGGTTGTTTGGAATATTGGATGGAACCAGCCAAAAAAATTACTATTTTTCAACTTAAAACAATAAGAATTGTTTAGATTAATTACCATAACAGAAAAAGAAATATTTTGTTACTTCCCATCAGTGAAAATTAGGGTAACCCCTGTTTTGCTTACTAGCCAATTCAAAGAAGAATAGAATACGACAGATGCAGTGAGGTTGTAAAATAGAGAGTGTCAGATAACAACAGTACTGACTAATAACTTCAGTGCCATTGGAGAGTTGATTGTAAACAACACAGAACTATCTTTGACAAAAATACAGAACAATGAGATTTCACCTGAAAAAATTGTATAAATTAAAGAAATATGTAACTAGAAGAGAAGGAGCAAAATTGAAATAAAAGCACTTTTGACTCACTCAGGTTTTTCTGACAATGCTGAGTAGTCCAGCAACGCTTTACATTCACATCTTCCTCTTTGGCAGAGGAACAATTGCTGGGGCAGAAATTTGCACATTGGCTCTCTTCCTTGTTTTCTCTGAAGTCTTGTGCAGCAGGATCTACTCCCAGGCTGGTCCAATCCACGGTTTGTATGTAGCATAACTTTTTGTTTTTGGTCAGCCGGACTCCTCCTCCACTAATACTGCGAAGACTATAGAGACCAATTTCTTCTAGATCTTGCATCTCATAAGCCACAAATGCATAATTGTTGAAAGGAATGCGGCCGCGTATGACAGTGAGGTTAGGAAAAAGATGTCCAAGCGTTTTCAGGCCCAGCACACGGTAGAGCATAAGATGATCTGTAATCTCTCGAAGTTTAGGGAACGAATACTGCTCATAATCTGCTGGTGTAGCGTCACTTATGAGCGAAATACGCAGAAATCCCTCTATAACAGTGCAGTTTTCCAACTGCCTAAGAAACTCCACTTTGTTGCGGATGTCAATACTCTTGCAAACTGAAATGAGAAAGAAAGATAAGGAAACATTAATAAAAAAACTCATATATCACATTTTTAATTTAAAAACGAATACAAAAAAATTAGGGAGCAAAAAGAAAGATGCCGTAGTATTTATCTGATGACAGGTGGTCCTTCAGATACAAATGCTTTGCAAAAGGTAGGAATTCAACACTGACATCAATATCTCACTTGAACAACAGCCCAGCATGACACCTGTTCAGATGATGCCCAAAGGGTATTTAAAAAGTACAGGACTAAACCAACATAACAACAGCTTAAGCAAATAATAAACATTAACAGATTGTAAACAGACCAAATACTGTACAATCAAACATCAACTTTTTCATGAACAAAGACAAAGAGCAAACTTTCATTCAGCAAAGCAAAAAGCCAACATTAAGGACTCCTCATTGAATTAACACTACTAATGAATTTTTTAAAAAAATATTTAAAAACCTGTGTAGATACGGGCACCTAAACAAAAGTACGAACATAATGCCCCCATCAACTTTATCATGTTTTGAGTTTTTTTTTTTATATGTTGACGCACTTGTCTTAGAATAATTCTTTCTTGACCAAGCTCCCTTCCCTATCCATCCTTCAAAATGTCTGTACACCTACTTAAAAACTTACAACAAAATTGAGAAAACTTTAAAAAGCGAAGATTGGCTGTACACTCTGCACTGTAAAATGTAACAATGGTATCGAAAACCCCGAAACACAAAATACTACATGGTTTGACTGACAGCCATGCAATTGCAAATTATAATTTATCTATTTTACTGCACCATCCAAAAATTTTACTTTTCCATTATTTTACAGATTTCATTGCACCTGACTTAATACAGAACATATCTTCGACAAATTCTTAGAAAACATCAGAGATTCCCCTGTCACGGGTCTAAAGAATTGTAACGTCTGGCAGCACCAATACATGGAAAGTATTTGATCATTATGCTGTTATAGCTTTACTTTCCAGTGTTTTACATAAAGAAGGAGCCAAACAGATTAGCCATAGGTCAGTTGATATTAAATTATCACAAAAAAGAACAGCACAATAATGGTTTTACACAAAAATAAAATGAAGTCTAGCAGGTACATTGAAAATTAGCAACGGAACAAGAAAACATTTTAAATCATGTACATTATCTGTTGGACATCTATTTAAAAAAATAAAACAACAAGTGTTTGAGGAGTACCATTTTACTCCCTTAAAGTTGGACTTTGAGATTAAACTACAATATTCTCCATTTGTCTTTCCAGGTAACATTTCTTTTTGAAGCTCCAGCATCATGCCTTGGGTATTTCTTTCCAGGACCAAGGCCCATCTATTCTGCCCCATTTAAGGCGAAACCCCCCCCCCCCCAAAAAAAAAAACAACAACTGGCGTCATTACAATGCAGTCCTTCTTTCCAATAATATAATTTTAGTCAAATGAGTACACATGACAATGTCTTTCATGATCTGACTACATCTGTGGCAAAGCTTACTACATAAACTGAGATTCATTGACATAAAACATTTTTATTTTGCTTTTATCCTCTTTCAAATTTGGCCCATGGTCCATGTGAGAGGATTTATACGGTTAATCAGCTACAATTTAAAAACGATGAATCAATAGAGACAAAGAGAAAACATCCCTAATTAATGACCAGAGGCAAACCACTTTTACTGCGCCATTAAGCAAGTTAAAACAATATTAACCAACAAATTTAGAATAAATTGGTGCATTCTATCAAAAGTTATTATATTAGAAAAAAATCGTTAAATTATTTTTCATATGGATGGCCGACAGTGATTAGTATAAAAGATCATCTTATATTTCAATTCATTCAGAAGCTGCCTCTATGAGATTCTGAGATCACATGCTTTGCCAATGTGGGTATGTATGTGTATGTGAGTCACCAATTTTTAATTGTTTCACTGCTGATCACTTTCCCATTTCCCCCCCTTACCAGCTGGCTGCTTTCTTGTTTGTAGATTATGTCTAAAAATGTATGGATTACTTCTGAGTGAAAAAAATGACATCTGTTGCATATTTGAGGAAAAAAATGCTTTGAAATTAATATCATATTCATCAATACACAGGCACTCATTCATTTGCTTATTATTAAGTTATCTGACAAAATTCCATACTTCATCTTTTTTACTTAATTTTTTTTTCACTAGCCTACCCTTAATAACTCCAGCTAAAACCCATGAAGGGAATACCTGACAGACATGTCTTGAATCCAGAGATAATATAATAGCAGCCAAAAAATAATGCACCGAGAGTAGTAGTAGTAGTAAAAAAAATATTAAAGTTGTTGCTCAAGTAACAAAAATCGTAACTCTTCAAAAGTGATGAGTAAAATTACAGAATCAATGCCGGCAATTCTTGAGTAATGAATCATAAAACTTTTTATTTTTCTCTAATCATTAAGCTATGTAAGAGTGGGACTCTTATGTAATTAAAGAGGGATATAGAGTAAAGCGGTTGATAAAAATCAAGTGCAAACTCTGAGTATCAAGCTTTAGCCAAAACAACTGCACACTTAAAGAATATCTGCTAACAATGATTGTAAACAAATGAAAGGAAACATGATTTACACTTTTTTGTTTCAATCCATCAACAAGGATATTGGATCTTGACTTTATGATAACTTTTTTTTGTGTGTGTTCTAATCTTAAGATGTACTTTTTTTGCTTTGAAGCCAATGTCAAGTAAAAAATTAAAAATATAAGAGAACTAATTTTCAAAATTTGAATGATTGATCAAAATGTAAACAAATCCTTGGCGCTCATATGAGCGTACATGCAGTTGTGAGCGCCATAAAAACTCTACTAAAACTAAAACAAATCCTAAAATTAAACTGAAAAATAAATTTTGAGAAGCTGTTACTTTAGAGAAAGTCTTTCTTCCCGCGACACCCAAAAAGGTAAGAGGCGGATAAAAGTAAAGTAAAAGTAACTTACTTTACAAAGGTTTAAATTTCAAATACAAATACAGGTATTACTTCAATGATGAATAAATCCACATGAAAATTCTGGTTACTGGCTGCACACAAAAAAGTGAGGTCTGAAAGTGCAGCACGAATGATTATGAGTTCTACACTTGAATTGTTATGAACTTTTACATTTTATCAGAGATTACAGACTTGACTTGAAAATTCTCTCATGATACCTACACAACTCTACACAGTCCCAATCCTGCTAACCAATTTTGCAGCAGCTGTGTTTCAAATCTGTCCGTCTCTACCATAGAGGGACAGTGCTTTAAAGCGACGTTTAACTTTTTTGCAAAAACAGCCATATGTGTGTGCGCCTAGAGAACACCAAAAGTTGCCCCAGACCGTTTTGAGCTACAGGCCGATAATGAATAATGACAAAAATTACTTTTTTGACCAAAATGTGTTTCCATTAAAAAATTATAGATCCACCATTTTTTTACAATGTGCTCAAAAGGTTTTCATTGATTTGACTTCTAAATATTTTATTTTGAATTATTTTTCGGGTAGGGTATAATAAAAATAAATGATGGAAACTGCTTTCAAAAGGTGTTAAAATCTATTCTTGAAGCACGTTTTCTCTTCCCTGCTATGTTTTACCCTTGAATTCCATTCATGACGACATGATATTGATGTCAACTGAATGCCAAATTGGACATAAATTTTCTATGAATAAATACATTTAAAAAATCCTGTTTAAAAAGTTTGTATGTGTTCTCACGTTTGTTAAACTTAAAAGCCCATTTTCTCAAAATTACATTTTTTAAACTTTACCTCGCAAAATGTGCAACAAACAGTACTTGAGATATCTAAAAAATTCAAAAACCCCTGTGTTCAGCATTGAATTTCCTATAAAGTACAACCTTTAACTCAAAATTGTCAAAATCCAACTTTTGGTACCTTTCTTTGGGGACACACACATATTTTAAAGTATAAAAATTCTCTGTATACAACACTAGGACTCCATAGGGTGACAAAAATTAGACCAAGTTGGAAGGCTCACAGTTTCTTGAAACTGCAAAATGTTGGGACACTAGGCAAATGATACAAGTAGTACATTCTTATCTTACACATATCAGCTGACACTTGTCGAAGAACCAAAAATTTTACATCCTCTTTTTCATCCAGCTCAATTGAAGTAAACCGGATTATCTTTAAAGGCAAGAGACTATAAACACTTGGATAAGCAGCACTTTCAAGCTTGAATACCAAGACTAATTGAGTCATAAAAAAAAGGTATTCATTTTCACTAAAGACTAATTTCTATGGGGGGAAAAACTCATCCCTCATGCAATTTGTAGATTTCCGGGTTGCACAGAGACCTATAAGCATCAGCAAGACACCTTGGATTATGTCTCATACCTTGTTTTATCAACGTAGAGTGATTCTTTCTCTTACATCACATTGCACACAAGAATATGAGAAGAAACGTATCTGTAGAGTAAGTCTGTTTTATTCTCCTTCTCAAAAAGCACACTGATTTGTGGTTGGAAATAAAACGTGAGGTGAAATCAAGCACTCGTCAAAATACAGAAATTGAAGAAAACATTCATTGTTCTACAGGCTTGGCAGCTTTTTTCAATTTCTGTTTTTTGGCCCAACACCTTTTATGTCTATTCAAAAACACATTTCTGTGTGGATTTACCCCCCCCCCCCCCCCAAAAAAAAACATCCTTAATTAAAGGCACAAAAATGTAAATTTTCAATTTCAAAGGGCTCTCAAACTATTTAAGTTACCACACTTTCGCTGATATTTTCTCGATAATTTTTTACCTCCGAAATCAGGTGACCCCCACTTTCTTCAACCAAAAATATCTCGACTTCTATTCAAAATAGATATGGGTACTTTGTTCATTGAAGGCAAAGCAAATGAACAAGCTTTCACATGATACCATTAACTCCACATGCCCAATTATTGACGAGCGCCTAAAGTCTTGGGAATATGAAGAAAATTAGCATACAAATTTGTGAAGCAACCCACAAAGAACTGGGAGTGCATTGGCATCTTGA